CTTTAGTTCCCAACCAATTATGCCAGCATAGCTTCCAACGACAATTTCTGAGAACTCAATTTCCAGAGGAAATTCCTGATTTTTGGTTTAACAGGGAAATGCCAAGTTTTGCTCTAGATATGCTTCATATTGGTATTCCTACATGTACTTGACCCCACTCCACCTGCAACTTCCTTCTTCTTACCTCTCATAACTCTATATGCTTCTTGAACAGAAAAATGCCCATGCTTATGAGTGTGCCATATGATTTTGTCAGGAATGCCTCTATGGCTAAACCATTATAAAAAAAAAATCATATTAGCCTATAAAAAATAATTCACGTATAAACCAATCGATATTTTCTTGATTAAAGTGAAGTTTTGCGTGCAAATATGATTATACAGATTGTCAGTAGACAATCTATTTTGTGAGATTAGTTACATAAAAATATGATATTTTTCATTTATATTTTCATCATCTCTTTATATAAGCTATTCTGCTAATGTAGCATGAGTTTTGGCAAAATGTCGGTGTTACAGTTAATTATTTTAAGAAAAAAAATAAATGTACGATCTGAATTAATTTCGACTCATTAATTGAATCTCTTCTAGCTTGAGCTTGAATTTTACTAAAGGTAATCGAAGGGTTGAATTGACTTGATCCCTAATTAAACATTAGGAATTGATTTATTAGAGTGCTTGAATCTTTCCCAAATCATATGCAATATGAAATACACATTCTTAGTCTTTGTTGCAGTTCAAAGTTTGTGAGGCTTGATTGCAAATGGATCGTCAATCTTTAACTGACTCTGAGGATTGGTTTTAAATTCAATATAGTCTAGAGGTTCGGAGGCTCGACTTTGGATTGAATGTCAATCTTTAACTATCTTAGAGGCCTGAAACCAAATTGAATATCAATCTTCGACCAAAATGCACTTGAATATTCAATATCTTGCTTAAAAACCTTGGAATACTAAGAACTTCTTCATTCACTTCAAGATAATTAAAAGTTTTTTAATATGAGACATGAATTATAAGGTGCGATTATTTTAGAGAGATCTCTCTTTATAAATATAGAAAAACAAAATATTATTTCGTGAAGGATGTTACATGATTCTAAATTTTAATTTACTTTACAAGAAAACTATTTATTTTATTAATTCAATATCATGCTTATCTTGAACTAAGATTCCCTACAAATAGATATACTACTTAATAAAATATTAAAACTATTTTTTACCTACATCGACCAATTAAATTATCATCCCAAGAGAGTTGTTGTCACTAGGGTTGAACACATAGTTGGAGAATACCGATCCGCTTTGAAAAAAGAAAATAATAAAAAAAAATTGATCATTTGACTTTTCTCCGAACCAAATCAAATCGAAAAAATAATTAACGTGATTATGGAAATTTTATATATATACTTAGCGAGTACCGAACATATCCATCCTATACCGTACCGAGTCGGAAGACCGAAATTAAGAACTGAACTATAACTTTAAATGTATCTAGTCTTATATTTTCATGTCAATTTCAGTCAAATATTATTTGAATATTTTCATCATACTTATAATATATAATAATAACAATTTAAACTTCACCGAAAGTGAGAAGATTGCAACTGTTCAATAAGGCCCTCATATGCAAGCAATTGTGGAGGATTGCCACTAATCCTTCCTCCTGGTGAGCAGATTGCTTAAGGACATGTATTTCCCTCAATCTTATCTTGTTCATGCTACAAAGACTCATGGTGGATCATGGATGTGGAATTGTTGAATGGATCATATGCCTTTTTTTGCTAAATGGCTCAAAATTGAAATCAGAAATGGATATAGCACTAGAATTTCAGATTTTAACTGGGTTCCAGGTCTTAACAAACCATCTCTTACTCTTATTCCTATTGCCACTGATCATTTGATTTGGGTTAGAGAGTTAATGCAAAACAATGGAACCCAGTGGAATGATTTGCTAATCCAGCAAGTTTTTGATGAGTCAGCTAGTCAGGCAATTCTCAGAATCTCAACTCTTCACCATAACATAAGAGATAGGCTTTATTGGGGGTTAGACAAAAGGCATCTTCTCTGTTTCTGGTACTTACGATCATCTCAGCAGGCTAAAGATATTATCCTCAGATATTCCTGAAAGCAGCACAAGTATGAAATCAATCAGGATAAGGCATTGGAAGCTGAAGATTGCAAACAAGTTAAACACTTTCTTTGGAAGTGTATTTCAGGCACACTCCCGGTGGTAGTCCACTTAAGGAAGAGAGGTGTGGAGATTGACACTACTTCTTATTCTATATGTAGGGAGTCAGCTGAGACCACTGAACACATCCTTTTCTCATGTCATAGAGCTGTCAGAGTATGGAAACTTAGCCCACTGCAATGGGATG